ACTACCGCATATCTAGTAGCCTCTCGAGACTTCAGGAAGAGACGTGAACGTTCGAGAATATGACGTGTTACTAGCGTCACGTGACCCCCGCTGTCGTAACACCATGTTAAGCTATAACTGGGATTATCTGATCGTTTGAAGTCAAACTGGAAGGACTGACTTGATATAAGGTCCTTGAAAAGACGCACTTCGGGATTTCGTAAATTCTTATTTTTAATCTTTTTTTGAAAAGATAGAAAACCTACAATCTTATTTTCGAACATTTCCGTAAAAATTTCTAATATTTCAAATAACAGCTTGAGTTTAAAAAAAAATATAAATCTGGTTGTTGAAACGACTGGAGAGTAGCGAGTTACAACAAAGAAACATCGGGTTTGATCAATAAATATCTGTGGGAAAAAAATCATAATGTATTACTAGTTACGCTTCAGTCCAGGAAAGAACAGTAAAAAAAAAAGAAAAGTTGACCATAAAGTTTTAATCCATGTTTCTAACCTTGTACAAGTGATATCATATTCCATAAAACGGATACAAAACTTACTAAAGAATTGTCACCTTAATTAAGAAATTAGTAATTTCACTTCTCATTTCAGGTTTTCGTTGATGCAGAAAAGTGAGGCAGTAAGACAAGTAAATTTATGATTGTTAATTAAGTTTATCAAAATTATAATACTATGTTAATAATGAAATGTTTTCAAAATATAACTTTGACGCAAAATGAATACCTTTAGTTCTATGTATCAGATGAACGCCTAATTTTTGTGTCTGAAAAGTATATGAAATTATAAATTCTCATAGCTCAAGATTTATCTTCAATGCTTTGTGGATTGGATGACGTCAATGCACAAGCGTGTGAAGGCAGGTTTAATGGCACAATTATGTTAAACTCTATGATATGTGTACACAAAGACCGTGTTTGCGTCATCACCAAGTGACTGAGCTGTTCATGAAAGGTGAAACAAACAAACAAAAACTGCTACAACTCTTTCAAGGAAATCAATAGGAAATTCGGATCTATATGATTAACGCGTGAACAATCTTGTGCGCAAAAATAAACCTCCTTCGGATTTTCTTACGACAGTGACTGCTGCGCGCGGATGATAAGATGGAGTAGGTGTTATGTAGAAAAAGGAAGACCAAATTCATCATAATCTCAGATAGGAAGTGAGAAGATATCGCTGTGTTACGTTGTCCAAAAGCAATAAATAATTTTACTTTATCAAGTTTATTGATTGAACTTAATATTATTATGTTATATATATATATATGTGTGTGTGATATTTCTATATATATTATATTGAAATTTGAATGACTTGAGGATTAAATAGACGAAAAGTTCAGAACGTTTTAATGATAGTTACTTTATTTTAAAACTGTAATTTTTGTCACTACTCCAACAAAGTTTATTACTTGTGTCATGTATTGATTTAAAGTAGGATTCATCTATCAGAATTTCCAAAGATTAAAAGTAGTTGAAAGCGTACAGGGCCTATCTGTTACTAGGAGGTTTTCAGTTGAACAGTTACTTTGCTGAAGAATAATAGGAAGATTAAGTGGTTAAACCTGCTGATATCATAAAAGATGACTCCCGACAAGGATTCAGAAAGAACCAATTTTATTTATCGACATCTCAGTGGGCTTACAGCAGATGACAACAACTTATTTTCATTAACAACGAATTCTAGTTATTGCTGTTGTTAATAGGTGGTGCACATATCGAAACCAGGTTAGTGCTATATCTACACGTTATTACTGAAAAGTAGGCGATGTTTAGCAAAATATCAGGTTACTAGCAGAGACCCGCAAAACATTTGTGGTCAAATTAGTATCTTTATTGCAACAGCATTTCTTTAAATATGGGGTTTCTAGAATGATACAAAACAATTCTAATCGCAGACACCCAAATTTATAAGTCCTCTTGTCTTAGGCCTTTATTAAATACGGCCATTTCCGATAAATTATCACTGTAACTTGTGTACGCTTTTTCCTTTAGTTTTGTTAGAGCTAACCTTTACCGTACTTAATTATTTTGATAAATAAACTTATAATATTATTCTACGACCTAACGTTAGACCTTTCTAAAACTTTGATAAGCTTTTAATATGTTGTTGTACAAAACGTCTACTAAAGTATATTTACATTCGTTGAAATGAATTGCGCGCGCATTTTCAGGACAGACAAAAACTTAGTGTTATTGTACTATAATATTATTATATGTTACTTTATTGTTAACATTCAAACCTTGATTATTAACGATGTAAGTCTATATCATTACGTCTACATGATTGTCAACTTTCATATATGCCATAGTTAGAAACGGAATTCTGTTAGATTATGTATTATTATCAAAACCTTAATAGTTATCAAGAAAAAGGTCAGCTCAATTTATTCAGTGTAGGATTCTGTTTTCTGCATTAAAGAACTTATTGTGAATATAGTAAACGTTTCCAAGCTTATATGTAAATTTTTAATTACAATCGATAGTCATGGCCTGTTTCTAGCTGCTGTGTTCAAAACAAAAAATAACTCAAAACGAAACTGAACAATAATATATTTGTAATACACATCTGTGACTGTCTCGTTTGGATCCTAAATTATATAAAAGACTTAGTACGTTATGTTAAATAAATCAGCACTTCACGCGACAACAACAGAAAATATAAAGTCCCAGATGAAGAGTATGTATCAGAAATACATTTTGACATTGTTTGGCGTTTTGTAGGTAGTGTGATGCTACCGAACATTGATAGCTTTGAGAAAAGTGTGTAGCAGTCCCTTCCGACGTAAAATATACATACATTCAGATTATAAAGATGCTTTCATTTCGGGGATTTAGAAGTTCCACGACGAGGATTTCCCTTGTACTTAATGGCACTGTAAAGCAAAATAATATGGACTAACTTGAGCCACCAGGACCATCCAGAAAAGGACCTCTAATAAGTCGTACACCGGCTGTGATAAGTGAAGTGAGAATTCACGAACACAAAGGTCAGTGGCAAAGCCGTCCATGTACCACAGGCAACAGTACATAACATAACCAAAAAAATATATGCATCTGGAAATTTGGCCAACAGGATATGGCTCACCAAAAGAAGGCTTCCAGTTATACCACCTTCCTCGTTCAACCGTCGCATACATAAAGCAGCTGGAGAATGAAACGGGTATTCGTGCTATTTCATACGAAGACATAACGGTCAAGTCGCCGAACACAGCACCTATGTATTTCTATGTGATCAGTCTGTTGAAAGGAGAATACAATAGAATACAAATATATAGCGTTTAATTAACTGACTGACTTTATAATAACAAAACAAAACCGGAACTAGTATTAAAGTTTACACTAGAAAGTGACTTATGATTTTAATCATTGAATACTTTGAGGAACTCTGTCGATCAACGGTTTAAAACATAGTCAAGTTAGTAATCTCTAGATATACGTCACGGTAATCACCGTTTATTTAACAATAACATGTGGCTAGAGCAATAACCTGACTAAATGTTAGACCCTACTTTGTTACTAATCAACTGTTGGTGTTAACTATCACGTGTAAATATAATAATAATAACCTAACTTCGTTACTAATCAACTGTTGGTGTTAACTATCACGTGTAAATATAATAATAATAACAACCTAACTTCGTTACTAATCAACTGTTGGATGTTAATTATCACATGTGAATATAATAATAATAACCTAACTTCGTTACTAATCAACTGTTAGGTGTTATCTATCACGTGTAAATATAATAATAATAACCCAACTTCGTTACTAATCAACTGTTAGGTGTTAACTATCACATGTGATTATAATAATCATAACCTAACTTCGTTACTAATCAACTGTTGGGTGTTAACTATCACGTGTAAATATAATAATAATAACAACCTAACTTCGTTACTAATCAACTGTTAGGTGTTAACTATCACGTGTAAACATAATAATAATAATAACCTAACTTCGTTACTAATCAACTGTTGGATGTTAATTATCACATGTGAATATAATAATAATAACCTAACTTCGTTACTAATCAACTGTTGGATGTTAACTATCACGTGTAAATATAATAATAATAACCTAACTTCGTTACTAATCAACTGTTGGATGTTAACTATCACGTGTAAATATAATAATAATAACCTAACTTCGTTACTAATCAACTGTTGGGTGTTAACTATCACGTGTAAACATAATAATAATAACAACCTAACTTCGTTACTAATCAACTGTTGGGTGTTAACTATCACGTGTAAATATAATAATAATAACAACCTAACTTCGTTACTAATCAACTGTTGGGTGTTAACTATCACGTGTAAACATAATAATAATAACAACCTAACTTCGTTACTAATCAACTGTTGGGT